GGATAAAGCCAGCGCTGGCATTTGAAAAAAATAAAACACAAGGCTACGTCTGGAATTATACATGCAAATACATTTAAAATGATGAAGTCTTAGCCTACTTACAGGTTGTGGCGCAACAACTGCTGCCTCTGGTTTTAAAGTTGAAACTGCTTCATGTTTTAGTAACAGTTTCTTGTTGAATCCGGCATTGACCTCGTGGAGATTCTGGAAGCTGTCTTCCGTAAAATGCGCAGCACAAAGAGCTAAATTACGATCGTCATTTTCAGGAACATAATCAAACATAAATTGTATCCATTGTTGACGAACTACAGCATCCGTGGGAAGCCCGAACACGGAAGACCTGACAGCTGGTGAACATAACACACTCGACGTGCCGTAGAAATATGGCCATGTCCTTTTTTGCATATTCCGGAGGGAGGGTTGATGCAAATGTGTGGGTTAGTGACGTCTAAAACCCAGCTGAGGTCCCAATCGAGTCGTTTTTGTAGGCATTAAACTTCCTGATTTTTAAAAGATGATATCTCTGCTTACACTAAACTTTCAGCGCTGCAACTTTGCAGATACTGTTTGTGCACCAACAGCAACATTACACACTATTTAAAATGAAAAAAGGGAAATCGCAGTCAACAATATTTTTTTACAGTGTTTGTACAGCGATGCTCGAAATAAATTTGCAACTGAAAATAAGCATAGAGTATCAGCTTTTTTTTTTGAACTTCAGGATCGTTAAAATTAAAATTGTGTTTTTTACCCAGCCCCATTCAACTGCAAATGTACATGCTCGAACAGCGCCAGTTCTCTCTCACACTTTTTCGACTCTTTTTAATATCAACTCTGTTTTCGTGAAAGTCACGTTAGATGATTTTTACTGCTTTGCACGTTAAATTTGGACTTTTATTCAGGAGTGAAAGCACACCGCTGGAAAGGGATGGAATGTGGCACAATAATCATTTTATCCCGTTTATCGTATTTTCACAATCGTCGGAAGCCAAAATCGAAACTCAATTTTGATTAATCGTACAGCCCTATTGTATATCTATCTTTATGTAATGTTTTTCTTTCTTATTAATATACAGTGTATACAGCGAGCACCTGATAATGTTCTACCTTTTAGACTGGAGCTACGAGCAGAATACAAATGCATCAAACAGATAAAGAGGTTCCAGCACAAACAATAGCCTTGCATAGAGTCCTGCACATTCACTGTCCAGACACTCCCCGTGTGTGTGTGTGTGTGGGAGGGGGGAGAGCCTCTCTCTGCCCTCTGGCCATGAAGGGTCCGCCCAAGCGTGCCTAACTAATAAAGACGAGCAAACACACACATGATCATTTAGATCTGCAGTACGTGACACATGTCCAGAGCGCGGCAGAGCCTTATGTGTACACACAGTCAAATCTGCACTTGAGCATGCATGACCCCACGGTGTATGCGTGCACATCACATGGGAGCATACACACGCACACACACGCAGAGTGATTGAGTCACGTTATAGGCTGGCTGTCGGGCTCCCGTGTGTTGTGCTTTTGTCCAGAGGGGAGAACAGGAAGTTAATGGCTGACTGTAAGAATGCAGCAGTAGAGATTGGCTCATCTTGTGCTTCAGTAAACGAATGTCACTGCTGGTTTACACTGTTTATTGGGTTTACCATGTGTTACACCTATTATACTTTTTTTTTTTATAGGACATCAATTTGGAGTTTTACCTGTACATGTACGAATTTGTGATTTCTGAAGTGTCTCATCATACCATAAATTATGTTATAGGAGACAACACCAGGGATGTCTCCCGGGCTTTACTGTCTCTTTAGCAAGTGCTGTTTATCAATCTACTCCACCACAGTTTTCTCCCTTGGTTTCACAAAACAGACTCGCTGTGTTTCAAAACTAGGTTCGACAACAGAGCTGTTGCGTAGCGGTTAGCATAGTTTTGGTACTTCGGTTTAGGTAATTTGGGAAATTTAAAGTCTGTATTCTGTTCTCAGGTCCTAAATGAAACCAGTTGTAGTAAAGCTTGCTCTTGTAATCTTTTTATTTCTGCCGAACAAATTTCACCTATTGCTACTCTAGCATCATTTTTGGTTACTGTGAGTGTGAAATAACTTGGTTCACCTGTTGTAGCTTATCCACGTTCTGTGAATTAAAACTAGTTTCTGAAACCCCTGCAAATTAAAGGGTTAGTTCACCCAAAAATGAAAATTCTGCCATTTATGCTGTTCCAAACCCTTAAGACATAGAGGCATTGTTGACTACGCGACTACCACTTTTACGTTTCAAAAAGTTCATAAAGAGATCGTAAAACTAATCCATATGAATTGAGGCGTTGAGTCCAAATTTTCTGAAGAGACTCAGACGCTAAATGTGATGAACAGATTAAATTTAGTCTTGGATATTATAAAAGATCTGCAAAGTTTTAAATGTCAAAGTGCATGACAAATAAAGTTATTGTCTCCTTAAAGAAAGAATCAATTTCAAACTGTCGAAATGGTTCATTAGAGATGCACCAATTACTATTTTCTAGGCCAATTCAGATTTCCGATTTTCATTGAGTTTGACCTGTCAATACAGATTTTCGATTGCGGTTTTATTCAAATATATATATATATAAACACCATATACTTTTACTCAAACTCAATAATAAAAACAAGTTTAAATGGGTTAATTTTCTTTTCTGACATGTTTTTGTTAAAACACACGACATGCGAATTCCGTGCATTTTGGGCACTTTTAAATCCTTTTTTTTTTCATCAAAAGTGTGCTTTCACTTTGACCATGAGCAGCGCAGCAAAAAAAAAAAAAACTCCTGCTCCTGGTGTGAATGCACTCATTGAGTAACATGTAAGCCGAAAAAAATATGCGGCGCTCACACTCGCGATGTAAATAAGGTGTGAAACGGTCGTAATTCACGAGGTTACCTACATGTGCGTTCCGTATGTGCACGTGAGATACTGATGTTGCGCGATGTTAATCATGCGGTGCCCGAGTGCATTTGACCGGCATAAAATCGTCATTAGTCAGACTGACCGGCCGATCACGTGAAAATCGGCCGGTTCCGGTCATGCGTCGGTCAATCGGTGCATCTCTAGAGTCCTCAGCAAATCCAGTCACACTTCCTGTTACAAACCTGCATAACAATGTAACAAGTAGTCATTAGTCTTGTTTAGAGAGACTGAATCTTCAAACTAACCTTGTTCAGACTCTTTGTGAAATGAGGTGATGTGTAATGTATATTATGAGAAAATTACAATGTTTTTAGCCTTGGGTGCAGGTAAACATATTGTAAGAGACCTCCGAGACAAAATTAGGAACCTTAAAAATGGCATAATGGGGGCACTTAAACTTACTTTTCAAATGCAAAAATAAAACTAAAAATATATAAAATTTAAACAGAACTCTCCTTCATCAGAGAAAGTCTCTAATTATAGTTCTTGGGTAAGGCTTGAATCTTCAGTCGCAGTAATTTGGTGCCAGAAATACGATCCCACAAGTGGGGAAGGTCGGTCCCCTCTCAGTGACCGCTTTGTGACGTTGTCAGCAGGAGTTTTGGGAAGCTCTGCTCAGCTGCGCGTCTGAACTCAGATATGACTCCTAAAGTGAGGTAGGGAGACCCTCTCTACTAGCAGCCCAAGCAAATCTCCTCAGTCAAACCATGAAAGTTACACTGATTTGTATGTAATGATCATGTAATTTATCAATTAAGCCTGGAGAGGCCTTGGTTCTCAAGCACTGTAGTCCACAGCCTCAGCACGAGGCAGACTAATGGCTCTGTAAAGACTGTGGGCGTGTGAGGAGTCATAGTCGATCTCTCACTCTCTCTCTCTTGCTCTCAGCTCTTTCATTGTTAAAGAATAATTAAGTGGTTTGCATTGGTCTCAAGGAGGAGAATTTGTACATAAAGATTAGATCAAGGCTGTCGCGATACCAAATTTCAGTAACCGATAGCATAACCAGATCTCGGTACGGCTGTGAGAGTTAATACACTCTTCTTCAACACAATGCATTCCTTTTTATTTAAAAGGTAACTTGTATATTGTATAATATTTATATTTCTTGGTAAATAGTGCCTCAAGTTATTTAAAATTCATTATTAATTAATTATTTTATATCAACTAGGGATGCCCTAACTAAGGGTTTTTCGGGGCGACTAGTAGTTGTTCATTTTAGCCATTAGTTGACTAATTGCTTATGTATATCAATTTCAATACTAAACCATAATTAACTTAATATCTATTCCAGGTCATGCATAAAGCTTGCAGCAAAGCAATGTCACAAAAGTAATTATTATGAATGTGTTGGAAAAAATATCAATGAGACCTTAATTATTTATTATGGAGAATGGTGTTGACGATGCTGACTCACCATTTCTAAGTATTTAAAGAGAAATGTCTCATCCGTATTGATTAAGTACATAAGCAGAGAGTATTTATGTTAGATTTGAATTAATTTGTTTAAAAGTTTCTTGCATGTTTTTCCAAACATTTCAAGCTTTCTATAGATATATTTCTCATGTCTGTGAGGCAAGTAGCCATTTTTGTGACGCGCTTTAGTTACGTTCGCACAACACAACGATTTGTTATCGTGAGACCCTTTACAGTTTCGAATGATAAACAACTCCATCATTTTGGTAAGAGTTTTAGAAGAAGTCATTTCCGCTGTTATGAGGAAAAAATGCAAGTGATTTGCTGTGTGCCGACTCCTCCATGCCATGCAGTTAGCATGCTAATACGTTAGCTTCCACTCTCAACACAAACACTTAAATATGTGCCTAATTAATCCAGGTAAACGTTAGAGGGAGCAGCCAAGTTACGCGTTTCAAATCATAAGCCATATTTGAGGTCGATGGGTAAGCGAATGTTTGGATTTCTTGCCCGACTCCTGTGTAAGCCTCTTCTCGGCGTCTATTAGGGGGCAGTCGTATTATGAACTTTGCACCTGGATGTGGATGATTAAAAGCTTAACAAGTGTGTTCACAGATACTCTCTCTCTCTGTGTGTCTCTGACAGGATGGAGCGGATGTCTGAGGAGGCGTTGAGGCTGAACCTGCTGAAGCGGGGTCTGGAGGCGCCAGATGAGCGGGAGGCCAAGCGCCTGAAGATGGAGGGTCACGAGGCCATGGAGAGGCTGAAGATGCTTGCCCTCCTCAAACGCAAGGATCTGGCTGCTTTAGAAGGGGCGGCGGTTGCTGCAGCCATGGCAGAGGGCAAAGGTCCCGGGGGCAGCCAGGGGCTGATGGGTGCTGTGCCCTACGAGGAAAAGATGAACGGAAGTTTGAGAGTCGGGGGCCATGGAGGTCCCAGCAAGAATGGGAAGGAAAACATAGTAGATGAGCCAGTGGACATGAGTGCCAGAAGGAGGTGAGGTTTTGGGAGTGTTCCACATCAGTTTGGACATAACTTTAAGCTGAGTTAAAATTGCATCGTTGAGGGGAAAAATTTTCATCGGAGTCATATTTTATGATTACATCCAGAAATAATTTAAAAATACCAGTAAATAAAAAAGAAATTTACAAGCAATATAAACTCTATTAACACGTATTTTAGTTACCCTTTTACCACCACAAATACTTTAAAGGGATGCTACTTTTTCCTATTAAACTATGTTATTCCCTTAAAGGGTTAGTTCACCCAAAAATGAAAATTCTGTCAGTATTTACTCACCCTCATGTTGTTCCAACCCCGTAAGACCTTCTTTCATCTTCGGAACACAAATTAAGATATTTAAGATATTAAGATCGCTCCTGCATACAGTCCATAGGCTTCTTGAGGTACTGGCTCTTGCTGTCCCCGAAAAGTCATTAAAGACATCGTTAAAATAGTCCAAGTGACTACAGGGGCTCAATCTTAAGTTTATCAAACGACGAGAACACTTTTGTGCGCAAAAAAACAACAAAAATAACGACTTTATTTCAACTATTCACTTCCTTCTCCATGAGCCTGTAAGTCAGTTAACGTAGTGTGATTGCGTAGAGCTACGTCACACGTAGGCTCACTATTGGCCGACGCTGGTCATGTGTGTGTGATGCGTGTGACGTACAATAACAGAAGCTTACGCTATTAAACTAGTAACCTGACTCGCGCAGAGGGAGAAATAAACGAATAGTTGAAATAAAGTCGTTATTTTTGTTGTTTTTTTGCGCACAAAAGTGTTCTCGTCGTTTGATAAACTTAAGATTGAGCCCCTGTAGTCACTTGGACTATTTTAACGATGTCTTTAATGACTTTTCGAGGACAGCAAGAGCCAGTCCCTCAAGAAGCCTATGGACTGTATGCAGGAGCGATCTTAATATCTTAAATATCTTAATTTGTGTTCCGAAGATGAACGAAGGTCTTACGGGGTTGGAACAACATGAGGGTGAGTAAATACTGACAGAATTTTCATTTTTGGGTGAACTAACCCTTGAACTAAGACGAGTTGATGCATACCTCTGTCGTCTCAGTGCGTGCGCTCAATCTCTCTGGCGCGAGACACTTTGATAGCACTTAACTAGCCCAGTTTATTCAATATGGGCCAAGCAGAGAAGCGACCAAACAACTCCATGTTTCTCCTATTTAAATACAGTTACTCGAGCAGTGTAACTCGACCTCGGACGGTGACCCTAAATAAAACGTTGCGTTTTTCTAAGCGTGTAAAATGGATAAGTATATTGTATGTTGGAATTCCACACCAAGTGATTGGGAGCACTTTGACTCGGCGCAGTAATATCATCACTCATGAAAAGTCCTCTCACCCCTATCACTCTCCGGAGTGATGATATTACTGCGCCGAGTCCATAGATATATATGCGTTCAGTCGATGTGCTCCCAAGCACTTGCTGTGGTATTCCGCCATACGATATAGTTATCCAATTTACATGCTTAGAAAAGCGCAGCGTTTTATTTTTGTGTCACTGTTCTAGCTTGAGTTACACTGCTTGTGTAACTGTATTTAAACACGGAAAACGTGGAGGTGTTTGGTCACTTCTCTGCTTGGCTCCTAATGAATGAACTGGACTAGTTCATTCATTAGGCGCGGCAGAGCGATTGAGCGCACACACTGAGATGACAGAGGTATGCATCAACTCGTCTTAGTTATGGGAATAACATGGTTTAATATGAAAAAAACGGTGTATATCCCTTTAAAGAGGACCTATTATGCAATTTTTCAGTCGGATTTGGTTTTTGGGGTCTATTAGAATAGGTTTTTATGCTTGAATGTTTAAAAAACACCTTGTTTTTCTAGGGGTGGCACTGCACTCACAGCTCGATTCGATCACGATTCTTTTTGTGTTAGGATGCCAACGATCAACATGGTTTGGGTGGCAGGTTTTGCACACTGCGTAAGTTTTATCTAGTTTCCCACGAAATGTGCCCAGATGTTGTGGTGCGTTTTTGATTAACCGTCTATCGCGGTCATAATTATCGCAGCACCCTTAAGTAATTGAAACTTAAACTTTATTGTCCAAGGCCAGAAAATAAACAGTGACATAATCGATTATGGCACTTTGCCGCATCGTTGCTGAATCGTGCATTTCCCGCATTGCGATGCATCGTTGAATCGATTATTGTTGACACCACGATTTTAATTCTTGTCTCTATGAATCCCCTCCTTGCAAAGCACAATGACCTCTGATTGGTCAGCTGGATCATTGTGTTGTGATTGGTCAGCTGTTTTAAGCGTGTTTAGGAAATGTCACTCCCTTACCATGATGACCATGAGTTTCAACTCATGAGTTTCAACTCACTACTAACTAACTCAACCAGAAACAGTGAGCACCGATATAGAGAATAACTAAAAATCATTATATCATCTGTCATTAAAAACAGGGATCCCCTCCGGACATCACTTTTGGAGACTACTGTGTATGTTATTGGTCAGTCTCATGTGAGTGACAGGTTGTCCCAACCTCGCCAGTAAACAGAGTTATTTTTACTATTATAATAGTAATAAAGTTATTTTGATTGAACGTCAACCTCTGTGGAGTAACCCAGTACTTGCGTGACTCCTCTTAGACATAAACGGAGAGAACTAGCTCCGGGTACAGCGTTCTTCTGCAAGATTTATGCAGTTTGGTTTATTAACCTGCCAAAAGTTACTTGGTGTACCTTTTTTTTTCTTTTTCTTTTTTTTTTTATTAAACAGTCAAACATACATACAAACCAACATAATGCAGTAGTAAGCCATCTTATAATTCCAGAAGTGACAGAGTGATTTAAGTGTTTGATCTAAGTGTGTATGTGAGTGGGTGTGAGTGTGTGTATGCGTAAACAAAGTAACCATTTATTATTTATTGCCATTGTCATTACCATCACCACCCCCACTCCCCACTACCACCATATTGCCAATATTGTATTAGTCGATTTTTATCCTTTCTCCTATGTACCAATTTCCATTGTCAACCCTGTATAAAATAAAAGATGATATAATAAGATAATATATGATAACCTTCCCCCACATCTCTTCAGTCCCTATCTTCTCCTAATTTTTTTTTTTTTTGTGTGTGTGTTATGTGCAATGTCTAAAGTGCATTAAAAGAGGTGTACCTTTTTAAAGATAATACTAATGGTTGATTTTGTTTCTGTGATCTCTTTTGTCATCCGCCTCTGATTTTGCTCTTCGCAGTGAAATGGTTCGAGAGCGACGCACTCCGTCACCAGACGTTATCATTTTATCAGACAACGAGGCGTCCAGCCCAAGGAGCACACCTCACCCTGAGGAGAAACAGCATCAGGCCAACCTGGAGCTGTTTAAGGTACAATATCCATGGAGGAATCGGGTCTTTTAGTTAGTTACCCACCGTTAAAGCTTTGCGTGAGTGTCGTCGAACATGTTTGCTGAGCCCTTATGTGTGTGTTTGTTCTGCAGGGGAAGACTGGCGAGGAGCGGCAGCAGATGATCAAAGCTCTCCGAGAGGAGCTTAGGCTGGAGGAGGCCAAGCTGGTGCTCCTGAAGAAACTGAGACAGAGTCAGATGCAGAAGGAGAACGTGGTGCAAAAGGTCAGAACCGTACTCATCGTCATCAATTATGAATTTGAACTATGTTAATTAGATGGCTGGGCTGATTAGAGACCTTTTCAGAGTTAAGAAAACATTTCAGCCTCATAGCTACCATACCACTGTGTCTGTTTAGTGCAGTATGCAGATTTTTCCATGCAGATCAGACCTTTAAAGGGACACTCCACCCATTTGCATTAAGATTTCCATTCTTAGAAATCCAGTCAAACTATTGAATAATCGTGCAACACTCTCTCGTTTCCCTGAGAAATCAACTATTTGCCCTATTCACTTCCTCCCACAATTAGATGACGCAAAAATCGTCATTTTACGTCTTTGTTGGAGGAAGTGTAAGGGGGGGGGGGGATTTCTGTAAAGACTACAAGCACTAGTTCCCACCCTTTCAAACCCGCGCATTAGACCTAATGCGCTAACCGACCAATCACAGATCAGTGATAGTGCGGTACTGAATATGCAGACGGATGCATTATGAATAGGGTTGAGTACCAAAACGCGGTGCCAATAGGGAACTAGTTCCGACGTAAACGGTAATAACCAGACCGAATAAGTAACGCAAACACGCGCAAAGTCTCTCGCTCTCTCCTTCTCCCTCGTGCACACACTATACGGTTTGGAGCACAGTCTGATCTGTCTCGCATGCACGCTCTTGCTCACTCGCTCTAGACTCTGGGAGATTTTAACTAATTTGCGGGCATCGTTCCGGAAAGTCTGATAGCGAGGGGATTAATGAAGATGCTGAAGACAAAACACTCCAAGGTTTGGCTGCATTTCACGTGTAAAATTACGTGCCAGAGTGAGTGTGCCGATTGTCTGAAGCCTATATAGAATCGCGCCAATCCATTGGCTGATGGCGCGGGTCTCCTGCCGCCTTCGTCGTCATATTATTAGCGCGCATTATCTGATTTCAATGTGCGAAATGATTGATGGGCGGAGTAGTGGGAGTGGTCTGTGGAGCTGAGCATTGCAATGCAATGTTGTCTACAATCCACAAGCACTAAAAAGTCAATTTCTGCCTTTTATTGGCCAAGAAGGACCCAAATTAGAAATTTATGGGTCCCACTTTATATTAAGTGGGTTTAAGTACTATGTACTTACATCGAAAAATAAGTACAATGTACTTATTGTGTTCAGGTTGTATTAGTGTTGCACGATGCACCGATACCTAAATGTATTAGTATCGACACTTTTATGAATGACCGCGTTCCAGATTTGTAAGAGATGTATTTCATGTTGGTGTGTGCAACGCACGCTTCCAGTCCCCTCCATATAGACGTCAGTGTTTTTTTCTCCTAACGCACGCAGCAAAGAAGCTGCAGCTGTAATGAGACAAACACTACAGCGACACGGCTGCATGCACGAGCACAAGTGATATTGTGAACGCCGGTCAGTAGCGGAGTGGCTATCCAGATATTCAGGACTTTTTTTTCCGGTGGGCTGGTAGTGTTTCGTGGCCGCGAGGACCAGTCTGATAGTTATACTTTGCAAGTTCTTAGCAACACCATCCGGCAGCCTGTACACAATAGTCTCCGCAACGGTGATAGAATGAAACGCGCATCCGAATGAAGATGGTGCGTGAGCCGCAAAAGACCATGCAACTGATAGCAGCGAAAAAAAGAGCGCTCCGCTTGATTTTAAAAAACAACTAATTTTAGCGCTAGATCTCTTATTTAATAGCGAAATAAACGAATTTTCTGCTATTTAACTGGAGATGTTTTATTTATTTTTGTATTAGCTGTACAACTTTCACCTCAACTTTCATAGATAGCGTAAATAATTAGCAAGCTGCTAAAATAAAGCATACAAAACATCAGCTAAAATGTTCTATAGGCTATATGATTATAATCAGAGCATGTGCATGTTTGTCTGTGATTTATTTTGTTAGGTTATTACAGCATTTAAAGAGCACAGACTTACGCAAAGGAGGTGCATGTGAAACGCCCTGTAAGAAATACTTTCATTTTCAGAAAAAGTATCGGAAAAGTATCGAAATCGCGATTCTTGACTTTGTATCGGTAACAAAACAATAATTTTGGTATTGTGACAACACTAGTTTGTATTGTAAAACTCTTTTGCTGCTATTCTGATACGGGTAAGGTTAGGGTCCAGGGTAGGGTTGCACCAGCCGTTCGTAAGTTCTTTCTTAAATTGTAACGTAAAGTCCACACTAGAGGCTTAGTAACTACTAGCTAGTTTGTAACTAACTCTTTACTTTATTCCGTTGCACCATTTGTTCGTAAGGTAGAACGTAGCTAGTAAGTCGTAAAGTAATGCGTAGTCGCATAATATGACGTTTAGCCTTGATGAACCAATAGCAGCCTTCAAATGCGTGAGCAGAAGTTGT